GCGGCGTTGAGCTTCATCCTGGCTCGTTTTGACGGCGGTCACGGCTCCTGCCTGCGCATCGCCTCCCTTTCTGCCCATCCCGAATTCCGGGAGATGCGGGCAAAAACGCATTCGGGAAGGAACCAACAGATCTTGCCACGTTCCGTTCCAGAAATTGCATAACGGTGAATTATTAGCAGCGCGGCTCGTGGCAGTTCCCACAATCGATTGGGGCAAAATTCCAAAATGATGCGCATTGTTTGCGAATGTTTGGAGTTGTGCGGCGAGAAAACTCAACCATCTGTGTTGTGATTCATGGGGTCCACCGTAGCCCCCACCTACATCACCGCGGTTATTCGGCGTTCCGCTGCAAATTGTATTTTCACAGCTTCGAAGTGCAATTCACCTTCTGTTCTGAGACTTTTGTCAAACATTTATTCAACTATCGTAAAATGTCATCTACACTGGTTAATTACATTTATTTAAATATATATGCTTATTCTGCTTTTTTTAAACTCCTGCACAAGCGAGGCAACGCCACTGCTCCAGATTTAAATAAACATCACTCCCCGACATCGTCTCCCTTCCATCGGGATGCCCCCCCCCCGTACCCACAGTGCCCCCCCCCCAACACGGCCCCCTCCCCCCTCCCTCGCGTGCCCCCCACGCGTGCACCACCTCCCCCCTTTGCCTAAAACCCGTTTTAAGGGCGGGCATCACCACGGCGTGATGGATGGCGCGACCGCCGGTGGTGGTATTTTTCCGGGTAGCTCGGCGTGGGAGGGGGGTGGGGGGCCCGCGTGGCGCAAGCATCGGAGGATCCCTGCCGGTGCTCTGGGGGGGGGGGGGGGTCCGTCGCCCGCTCGGCAGCCGCAGCGGCGGTGGTGGTGGTGGCAGCCGCTCGCTAGCGCGCTAACTGGGGCCTAATGGATAGAGTCCGCTGGCTCAGATAGTAATGAGCCATAAATCGCTGTTATCTCAGAGAGCTTATTTGTTCAGGCAGGGAAAACATACGATCCAATATGCTCCCCGGCAAATGGCGCAGATAATAGAGTTTTACAAACCATAAGTAATTCAAATTACACGATGGGAAATGATTGATGGGCCGATGTGGATTATTAATTTGGAATCCACTTTTTCTTTTCACCCCTCCCCCCTCCCCTCCCGCATCTCCACGCGTGAATCTTGCGGACGTTTCAGTGGCTGTGGGGATGTGTGAAGAAGTGTTCTTATTAGTAGCGTCATTAAATACGTGTCTGCTCGGGTTGTATATGCTCTAATGCCGAGAGTCAAGTGTTTGTCCATCAGAAGGAGCCTGTGCCAAGCTCTGGCAATCAGTATTTCTGCTTGACGGACACAAGCTGACAGGAACGTGTGAGTGAGTGAGCGAGCGTGAGGATGGGAGCGACAGCGTTCTGCGCTATGAACCCGGTGACCCGAGTTCGATTCCCGCTCATGGCCAACACCAGTGACGATTTATCTGAACCGGTCCTGTGTCTCCCCTAGGTCGACTCAGCCTCAAATGAGTACCTGGTGCGGTGTGTAAACATCGCCGCTGGGGAGACAAAGTCGGTCGGGTGTGGTGCTTGCAACCCCCCCCCCCCCTCCTCTTGTACCACGCTGGCCTTCATAGCTGCTACTCGCTAACATCACTTGCCCCAACAGCATTTTGAGGCTACACGGGGGGATCTTTGTCCGTGTGAGCATGTTAAAAAATAACCTGACCAGTGGGATGCTAGTACGTGCAATGCTTCTAAGGCAAAGGCGCAGCCCTGCAATTGCTCGCTCACGCCACTGCCGGCAGAAGGGCCTCCAATAGAGGAGCAGAGAGCCCCCTCCGGACATCTTGGCGAAAGAGTAACCACACTTAACCCGACCGCACGCGACCTGCGGATCGGCTAGCTGCGGTGTAAACCCGTTTCTCCTGCTGGGTGGTACAGAGGCACCCTGGGGTTGGATTTGAGGACGTCTGTTTGTTCTTTCGACTCTGTTCCTCGGGAACCGTCACCGCGCGGAACAAAATCCACGCCGCGTTATCGGAGAGCGCTCGCCACACTTCTAGCCCGTGCGCGCTCACGTGATCGCTCACGTGATCACCCGCATGGTTAATCGCCGACCAGAGGAATGCTGCGCTTATCTGCTCCGCATTTTGGAACGAATGTTTTTTTGTTAGTCCGTTGGCGGAGGTGGGGAGGTGGGGGGGGGTCAAGGTTAGGGGAAATGCGCGACGCCGTGCACAGGGCCTCCTCAATAGCCACGGCGAGGGTTGGGAAATGGCAAATTGCTTCTGGAGAGGCGCTCGCGCAGTTATTCAGAGCGGGAACTTGCGGTGGAAGATCATTCGCACATCGATCGTGCGCCAAGCGGGACACGCCACCACGGAGTCTCAAAGCGGAGCAAACTGACGGCCTCAGCCTGGTGTCCGGCTGTGCTGTCATTGGCTGGGTGGCATCATTCCTTAGGAGTCTGTGAAAAAAGAGCTTTACAGCTCATCGGATTCCTCCAGTGTAAATAAATATCCTGGTCCTTTTTCGATTTGAAGTTTTCGTGACTGCAGGAATTCATCTTCTTGGTTCTTTCGGTAAAGTCACGTAGAATTATATTATATTAATAATTATGTTATATTACTTTATTATGTTTTATTTTTTATTATTTCATTATTTCCATTCGACGTGACTTTACCGAAAGAACCAAGAAGATATTCTGGTCCTGACATTTTAAAGACCGTCGTCATTGCTGATGATGGTGGTGAATGAAGACGATAATTCAATCGTTCTCTCATTATTCTTGCGGTGAGCAAACATCATGGCTCCTATTGTCCACAAATGTACTCTGATCATCCGCAAAAAAATGCCGACTAATCGCAGGTGTTATGAAGAATAGGGGACCTGTGGATGATGAGTATTTGTAGGAACCCTTCGGCCCTCGCGGAGAAATCGGCGTTGGAGGCAATAGACCAGCGGATAAGAGGAAGATTGCTCAAATCTGTAACTGCGGTGCAACGCGTGTCGCGGTGCGCAGACCGCTCGGCGTCCGTTTGCGCGAAACGATCGCCGATTAATTTGGTGGGGGATAATAACCGCGCCTGACGTCAGCAGCTTGTCGTTTTGACCTCGCTCCGTGCGTCCCCAGGGACGGTTAGCGGCTACCACCACCACCACCACAACTACACCGCCACTACCACCGCCGCCACCACCACCATCGCCACCGGCACCACCACGACGCCACCATTACCACTGCCACCGCCGCCACCACTACGCCACCCCCACTACACCACCGTCGCCACCGCCGCCACCATCGCCACCGGCACCACCACCACGACACCACCATTACCACTGCCACCGCCACCACTACGCCACCACCACTACACCACCGTCGCCACCGCCCTGCCACTGCCGCTGCCACACAAAGAGAGGGGAGCCTCCCGCCACACTGGAGGGAGAGACACAGCGCGCACTCGGAGCCCTGTCCAGGCCGCTGTAGCTGCGTCTCCAGTCTGCAAGAAGACACTGTGTGTGTGTGTTCTCGGGGGGGGGGGGGGGGTGGAGGCCAGGGAGGCTCACATTATTCACATTCTGCTCTGGTTGCGCTGGCTTCACACGCCGCATAAATGCATCTTCACCACCACCCCCTCATCCCCGGCCATCCCTCCCCCCCTCCCATCTCATCGTGGCTCACACGGGAACGCACGCTGCCGCTGATCACCGCCACGGGGCTCAACTGGGAGCGGCAGACGCGGTGGCTCCCGTCCTCCAGCGATTCGCCAACCCCGTGTCGTGGGAGCAGGATCGTACTGGGCACCCCTCACTCCCTGCCCCCTCCTCCCGTCGGTTTCCGCACGATTTTATTAATTCTCATTTTTCTTTCGATGCATGGCAGCACGCAGCAGCAGCAGCACAAGCGTCCCACAAATCACGTACAAAGGAATGTGCGCAGCTGTGTGGACAGCGATGTAAACTAATACAACAACATAATTTCAGGTTCCCGGGAGACCAGCCTTCTGCCAGAACAGGCATCGCTGTTTATGATCACTGGTTAGAGAACATCACTGAGAACACAAAAAAAACACCACCAGCCAACCGATGTTGTTCCTTGTTTTGGCCACACATTTGCGAAAACTAACAGTGTGTGTGTGCATAGGGAGCGGTAGTAGAGCGGTTAGCACGCTGCTCTACTAACCTGGCGACCGTGGTTCGATTCCTGCTCACGGCCAACACCGGTGACGATGATCTGAACTGGTCATGGGTCTCCCCTAGGTCGACTCAGCCTCAAATTAGAACTTGGTGCAGTTTGTAAACATCCTCACTGGGGAGACAAAGGTGGCCGGGCGCGGTGTTGGCCACCCACCCCCTCGTGTGCCATGCCGGCCTTCATAGGTCCTCGCTAACAGCACTTGCCCCAACCGTTTGTTAAGGCTATATGGGGGATCTTTGTATGCGTATTGCTGTTATCTGATATAAAATTATTGAAAAAAAATTACGTTTGTGTGTTTCACAAATGCACGACCTGAATTTATTAGCTTTTTTTTACGTGTTGGCTCATTTAAACAAATACTCGAGTCTCTTGACCACCCCCCCCCCCCCGATTCACCCCCCGGTCGTCTCGTGGCACTGGTGCTCTTCACGCGCCGCCGGTAACGTCGAAGAATCGCGTTTCCGTGTCACCTGACGGTCTGCGGCGAGGCTCGCCGTACACGGGAAAGTTTAACTTTCGTTTGTCTACCACGTACGTATCAGTAACAGCTTTCCACGTGCAATGGAGGCAAATATCTCCCCCCCCTCCTCGTATCGACTTTTCAGGGAAGAGCAGGAAGATCTTTTCACAATTCGATGAAGCCGGTTGCAAACGCCAGTGAAACTTGCACTCAGATTGTAAATGTTTCGGATTTACTCTCCAGCTCATCATTGTCACGTTTTGTTGACGTGACGAAATTTACTAATTTGCCTTGTCAGAGGTGGTGGTCGGTTAACGGCACATTTATATTTACGCGATCTAACCCAAAAAAAAAACTTTATTATCAGAAAATCACCGTTGACGAGCAGCACCTACGAAGGCCGGCACGGCACATGACGGGGTGGTGTGGCCAGCACCACGCACGGCTGCCTTTGCCTCCCCAGCGCTGATGGTGACACGCTGCACCAGGTACTTTAAGGCTCAGTCGACATCGGTAGAACCCAAGACTGGTTCTTGCACCTAGACAACCAACACCAATAACCAACACGGTCATGATTGAAAACCAACTAAGTAGGTGGGCTCATAGTGCAGCGCGCTAACCACTGCGCTACTGTTCTGCAAAGACAAAGATCCCCCTTGTAGCCTTAACAGACTGTTGGGGCAAGTGCTGTTAGCGAGCGCCTAGGGAAGCCGGCACGGCACCACGTCCTTTCGTCTCCCGAGTGGCGATGCTTACACACCGCAGCAAATACTCATTTGAGGCTGAGTCGACCTAAGAGAAGCCCAGGACCGGTTCAAATAATCGTTACTGGTGTTGCTCCGTGAGCGGGAATCGAACCCGGGTCGCCGGGTTCATAGCGCAGTGCTAACCGCTACACTATCGCTCCCCACGTTCTGCACACACAGACACATGCACACGTGCACACTTGCATGCGTGCACGTACAGCATAGGGGGCTGTGCAATGGAGAGAGAGAGAGAGCCTGAATGCATGCGTGTGTGCGTGCGCGTGTGTGCGTGTGTGTGCGTGCGTGCGCGTGTGTGCGCGTGTGTGCGTGCGCGTGTGTGCGTGCGCGTGTGTGCGTGCGCGTGTGTGCGCGTGTGTGCGTGCGCGTGTGTGCGTGCGCGTGTGTGCGTGCGCGTGTGTGCGTGCGCGTGTGTGCGTGCGCGTGTGTGCGTGCGCATGCTCGGAGCACAGTTTTTTTTTAAGTCTTCATTTTGCCGAAGGTCAAAAGGTGAGACTCTCAAAGACTGCGCATAAAGGCGTTAAGTGGAGTCCTCCTTGTTTCCAGGGTGTTCTGCACAATGCCCAGCCATGCGCACTTAACGTATATTGAAGTGTAGTGGTGTTTGCTGATTTGAGCCGAGCCTTGTTGCGAGCCTCCTCTCTGTGAGAGAGCGGATCATCGCAGCCCCTGGCCTCCTGCACCCCACCGTCATCGCCGCTGCAGCAGCACAAGCACCCCCGAACCTCCATTCATTCGTTATTGCCTGACCCCGCGCGCCCGCGTTGAGCACGGGTTGATGAAGGGTTTGTGTGCCTTTGATTCTCTGGATATGTACGTGCATGTGCGTGCGCGGGCATGCATGTATGTAGAACTTCTTTCGCACCGTACGTAGCCAACTGTGCGAATTGGAAGTGCGGGGGATACAGGGGAGGAGTGGCGCAGTGGTTCGTGCACTGCACTACGAACCCGGCGGCCCCGAGTTCGATTCCCATTCACGGCCAACTTCTGTGACGAATATCTGAACTGGTCCTGGACCTCGCCTATGTCAGCCTCAAATGAGTACGTGGCGTGTGAACATCACCACAGGGGAGACAAAGGCGGCTGGGCATGGTACTGGCCACACCACCTCATGTGCAGTGCAGCCCTTCACAGGCGTTCGGTAACTGCCGGGCGGTGGTGGCATGATGGTGAGCGTTATTCACTACGAACCCAGCCACCTGAGTTCAATTCCCATCCACAGCTGACATTCATCAACACGCGATATTCCAAAACGGATTCTGTGAACTCCCCTAGGTCGACTCGGTGAGTACCATTGCAATGGTGAGTACCATTATACCGAGTGCGCTGTGTCAAGATCAGCAGCAGGTGAAGAGGGCTTCATAGCTCATCAGATACCTCCGTTATAAATGAAAATACTGATTCTGGCTGGCGTGCAATATCAGCATTGCCAGAGCGAGGGGGACATGTGACTTCACACACACAGCCCTGCTTATAGGCCCACACCCAGCAGCCCGGTCACAAGGGATCGGAATTCCACAGTGGTCATAATAAGCACACACACGCACACAGGGACCTATTGGTCTGTGAAAAAATGGCAAATGTGCAGCCCTGCAATTCCTTGCATTCAATGGAGAGAGCTCAAGAGAGAGCCCCGCTCGGTGTGTATTTGGCCTACTCTTCCCCACGTTGGCCTGACGTCTTGTAAGAGGTGGGAGTACCCCCCCACCCACACCTTACACCAGCACACGTGACCTGCCGGTCGACTCGCTTCATACTGCCGAGGGTGTACAGAATTCCGTGGGGCTTTAAGACACGAGCGTTGTTTTTTCAACTGCTCACCGTCACACCTGGGCAGCATCTACGACGTACTCTCAGTTCTTTCGGTAAAGTCACGTAGGTAAAAAATGAAATAAAAATTAACAAAAAATAAAATAATTTTTTTATTAATTTAAAAAATGAAATTAAAATTAACAAAAAAATATATATTTTTAATTAATTTTAATTTCATTTTTTACCTACGTGACGTTACCGAAATAACTAAGAGTATGAATCCTTGCAGTCACGAAAGCTTCAAATCTAGAAGCATCTACGACGTTAACATTCACGTTATTTAAGAGAGCCAGCGAGCCCCGGAATTCGAATTGACAAGCAGCACCCTTGCCTGCCGTGCTGGAATAGTTATCACACTTCACCACAAAGTGGTACTTTATTTTATCGACCCTGGTGGGGGTGGGGGGGGGTTGATGGTCTTTGCCAACAACCGACCAGGATTTGAGGTCGCGACCTTCTGACCGCGTGGCCCCCCAAACAGTATCTTTATAAGGTGTTTTTATATCTGTCAGTATAAGAGTTGACGCATCTTTAGAAAGGTAACACGGGCCCCCGTATATTTTTTGTACGCGATGCAATGATGCGGCAGGATGGCGCGTCTCGAGACGTCGTTCGAAATGCAATCCGGGATGCGCCGAACGGGGGCCTCCGTGCGTTTCCTTTCGCGATCGCTCTTTTGCGCTTGACGCTCTCCGCGGTAGGTGGTGGTAAAATATAAGAAACGGCTTCACGACCTCGATCCGCCCGAGAGCGCAGAGGGCTTGAAATAAATAAACAAAGAAGTGCGTAACTTTTTTTGCTGGAACAAGACATCAAATTCCTCCCAGGGCTCCCCCCCCACCCCCAGCCCCCGTCGGAGTCTGTCCAGGTGAGGGTCTGTGTGCCCCACGATGACCCGCTGCTGTGCTCCCATCGATTGTGCGTCCGCACGCATGGGTTGCTTTTTTAGTACCGGGACTTTAGACCGTAAATTATATAATGTATACTGGGCTTTTAATATATTTTTTTATCTATTACAACCTGGCTTGTTTTTTTTTTTTTGGGGGGGGGGGGGGAACAAATTATTACAATGCATTTTTACAACCTACTTTCTTTCACCAAGTAAAATAGTAAATCATTTCGATAAATAGAAAGCTTCTGCTTTGTCTGATAATAATAATCATGGTGATTTGTAGCCGCATTGTCAATCTACTGCTGGATGAAGGCCTCACCAATGCTGTGTCGGTCGTGAGCATTGTTTGACCATACTTCACCGCCCTGGTCAGTGCGGGTTGGTGATATATTAAAGGGTGGAGATCAGGACAGATTGGTATTTCACTCTGCACCGATGTTCACTGTGGCCAGGATTCGAACCCGGGTTGCCAGGGCTATCATGCAGTGTGTTTCCCGCCGTACAACCGCTCCACTCCATGGCATATCTATAATGCGATGGGGTTCATTGTTTGTGCAGTGAGCGGTGACCGGGCTGAGACCTTCGACTCGATTCACGTGAGACCTCGGTTTGGTCACAGCTGCCTGAAACCCAGGATTCAAATCCAGGGTCTCAGAACGGCCGTGTCAGTATCTCTAGGACAGTATTAGCCTTCTGGGCTACACATTCACCTCCAGAGGCTGCAGTGCTCTCGGTGTCACGAGGACGTTTGGACTGGAGCCCAGTGGTCACATCTGTCAGGCGAGCGAAAGGATCACGTGGGCACACGAGAACAGAGATCCCCCGTGTAGCCCACACAGGCTGTTGGAGAAATTGCTGTGAGCGAACACCTACGAAGGCCGGCATGGCGCCCAAGGGGGTGGTCTAGTCAGCACCACAACCGGCCACCTTTTTCTCCCCAGTGCTCATGTTTTACACTAAAATAAAACGAAACCATTTTTTTTTACTAATCTTTTGTTATGTTAGCCGATAAGGGCCACTGACCTATATTGCTATTTTTCAGACGTGACTTGGCTGTCACAAATGATAGCTCAACGAAGTGGCTTATCACGTGGGAATTTACAGTAGCCAAATAATCTAATTGCACGTTGTTTATAAATGTGGAGGGTAAAAACTGGAGGACCTGGAGAAAAAAAGATGCAAACCCACGACCTCCTGTATACCAGGCGAGGTAGTTAACACCTCGCCACCGCGATGCCCATTTAAGGCTAAGTTGAATTCGGAGAGGCCCATGACTGGTTCAGATATATATGCCTCTGATATTGGCCGTGGCCAGGAACAGAAGAGCCATGGACAGACGCACGCTTGGAATTACACCGAGAGACAGCCAGAGAAACAAATGGATGAGGCACTCAAGTTAGAGTCATCGTATTGAATTTTAGAATAAGATTGGGGGTTTGCACAGCCCACGTCACTGAAAAGGGAGGATGGCCATTGGTCGAGACTAATAACGGAGCAACAGCCAAAGGAGGGAAACGTGCCATTAAGGGTCATCCACCGTGAAGATGGAGCGACAAAATCAGCTACATTGTTGCTTTGCGAGATCACAAGGGATGACGACAGTTTGGGGAGGCCTTCTTGAAGTAGCGGATAGATGACGGCCGATGATAATGAATTGTCAAAAGTTAAGGATTTGTTGACATGTTGACGGTATTGCTCCGTAACCCGAGTTCCTCCATCACAAAGAGACTCTTGGTCACTTTGGCTCTCGCCTGGCATAAAGAATAATTTTACGATGATGGTGGTTACAAAGACGGTTACCAGATAGCACTCTTTCAGATTTGCTTCTGCGGCTGTCTGGAATGATCTTCCTTCCGTTATTAGGAAACCGCTGGAGCCTTTCACGTTTAAATCTAGATTTATAACTCATTTCTTTAGAGCTTGCTTTGTGTGTTTATTTTTTAGTCCTTCCAGCCGCACCTCTGATTAGCACGGTTGGCTACGTATGGTGCAAACGAAGTTCACCATAGTGCATACTGATGATTTAGCTCTTGCGCTGTTTATCTTGCCGTCTGCTGTACCCAGATTGCCATTGGTAGCCGGGTACAGATATTTCTTGTATAGAGATGAAATGTAAAATATTAGTTTTTTCTATTAATATCCCAAAACGGGAGAGCGCAAGGTTGCTATGAGCAGAGCCTGTTGCCCACCCACATGGCCAGGGGTCACCGATGATGTCACTGGCAGGTGACCAGCTGCTGGCGCTGCTGGTGGTGACCTTGAGCCCTCTCCCGCCGAGTCCAGCTTCCAGATAATTCGCTGACTAGGCCAGGTCTACATCATCGCCGTCATCATCCTCATTATCATTGTCATCATTGTAATCACCATCGCCACCATCATTGTCACCATCATCATCATCGTTGCCATCATCATCGTCATTGTTATCTGTCGCTTCCATCAGCTCATGAACGATGATGGAGCCGAACACAACTTCTCTCTCTCTCCCTGTGGGCCGTATTACTGCTTCGTGTTTCAACGCGGACTGGTAAATATGTCTGAGTTGGAGGGCACGTGGGGGTGGGGGGGGGGAGGGATGGTGGGGGGGGGGGACTAATCCCGGCGAGCCTGAGCCACGATGCAGTCCAGGCCACCACCAGCAGCCCCTGGGATGGTATTGTCTTCGTGGCTGTCACCACGGCGCGCGCAATCTGTCACGATGTCTCTTGCGCGGGAGTCACCTTGTACCTTTAACTATCATCGTAATGGAAATCACATTTAATGTCCCATTGCCATGAGGTCAAGCCGGGATGTATCATCGTCTGGGCTGGCCACCCAGGGCCCGGCCCCGCCAAGTCGCTTGCGGCGCGATCGGTTGGGGGAGGGGTGGGGAGCTTCCCGGCACTAAATATTGGGGAGAGGGGGGGGAGATGTTAACCCACATTTGAGCGCGGCCTAATTAAATTAAACGCTGGGAGGCGAGAGACGTGTCGAGGAGTGGGCCCCCGCGGTGGCGGTTACCGCCCGTGTGTTTTATGCGTCTCGCTCTGCGCGTGTTTTCCATCGTAATGAACGCGGCCGGGATGCCCGCTGGCCGGGCCACGCGGCCGTGTTTGTTAGCGCCACTCCGCCGCCACGTTATTTCCTCATTGCCGGGTCCGTTTGGAGTCAGCGACCCTGAAAAATATTATCTGAACCCAGCACACCACGTCCAGTATACCACTCGTTATGGCCGTGGATACTCGTTGTGCGCCTGTTTTTATTTTTGAATGTTTTTGTTTTACCAAGTAAGGCCCACTGAGCTATACAGCTCTTCTTCAGAAGCGACCTGGCCACGAATGAAGTGGCTTATTGCGTGGAAATTTAGAGCAGCCAAATACGCGAAACGCGTGACATTGATTCTAAATGTGGAGGGAAAAACCAGAGGACCCCGAGGAAAATCCACGCAGGCCACGGGGAGCACGCGCGCACTCCAAATATGCAGGCGTCAGGGTCGGGATCGAACCGACGACCTCTTGCATACCAGATTATCACCACGCCATCCTGCGGTGCTCTACTCCAGTCTACCGGCAACTCCACAGCCCCGCCAACCGCATTGGGAAACGATCGTAGCCCGAGGGGCGGGTGTGCCGATGTAGCCGCGGACAGGCTCTGGTTTTGAATCCGAGTTCCCACTGCTCGGATCGGGTGGCTTTCCACCGTGGCACGCTGCGCTTGCCCCTATTGCTTACGAGGTTGTTGCCTGCCCCGCTGTTTAATATGAGGGGGTGGGGGAGGTTAATATGAGGTGAGGGGAGGGGGCTTAGGGCTGAGTCTATGTGACCAGGAAGCGAGTGGTGTATGGGGGACAGCAGCAGATGATGGATGGTGGCTTGTTGGCTCCGAAATCCGAATTTCTCCCAAAGGCTCGAGAAAGCCTCCCTGGCTGTCTTCCCAAGGTCGCACCTGTGAGCGCGCACACTTCATGATAAGTGGCGTTTGGGAAGCAAAAAAACACGGTCTTCTGGTCTCGTATATGGGAGAATTCGGTTTAAAGTTTTGTTGTTGTTGTTGTTGTCTGGGTAAAGGGGTCACGTAAATCGTGGCGCGAAAGGAACGACGTTTGCGTGTGGTGGCAACGTCGTGATGCCGTGCGCCTTTATTTATTCGTCTGCCCAAGTGGTCGCTCGCCGCATTTGTGATTAACTGAGACGTAGTTATTTTTTTTGGTCACGCGCGTGCCGTCATTTATTTTAGACAAATCAGTGAAATCGATCAACGTCCTTTATTCAGAGGGAGACGAGAGAGCTCAACAAGACTCTCCGTCAAAGGAGACCTGGGTAACAAAATCAGTGGAGAAAGAGAGAGAGAGAGTGAGAATGCACGCGGTGAAGGATCAAAACAACATCACGAAACTCACACCGCACAGCTCTTTTTGGTTCTTTTGGTAAAGTCACGTAGAAGGGAAATAATTAAATAAATAAAATTCTATACTAATTATCACGACGTTTCAGCCACAACACAAGCAGCCGTCCTCAGGTCCCTATTGGGAGGGGCCACCGTTCACCTCGGCTCCAATGGGAGGCGAGGTGAATGGGAGCAGAGCCAGCAGGGTAGTATGGGAAGGCCGGATCTGACGAACCGGAAGGGGAGGAGTCAGGGTCACGTGGGGGGAATGTATATAAGTGGGAGCCCGGAAGAGATCGTGGCAGTTGGGGAAGTTAAGAGGCTGAGCCACGTTGGGTGGTGAGAGGAGATCCGCGCCATCGGCCACGTGGCCGAAGGACCTCAGCACGCCGTCAGCCAGCGGTGTGCGGGAGTGGAGGAGCTAACGGAGGAGCGTGTGCGGCACGTTAGGGGAGACGCTGGTCCCTGATCAGGACCAGCGGAGTGTGAGGAAGAGTGGAGGAGCTGACGAGGGAGCGTGTGTGGCACGTTAGGGGAGACGCTGGTCCCTTGTCAGGACCAGCAGGGTGTGAGGAAGAGTGGAGGAGCTGACGAGGGAGCGCGTGCGGGGCACGCGCGAGACGACGCTGGTCTGCGGAGGAGACCAGCGGGGTGCGGAAAAAGAACCTAAATAAAAGACAAACGGAGACAAGCAGTGCCTGACGGAGTCTTTTATCACATATTGAAGGTAGTGGTTAGTGCACTGCTCTGCTAACCTGGCGACCCGAGTTCGATTCACGCTCACGGCCAACACCAGTGACGATTATCTGAACCGGTCCAGGGCCTCTCCTAGGTCGACACAACATCAAATGAGCACCCGGTGCGGTGTGTAAACATTGCCACTGGGGAGACAAAGGCGGCAGAGCGTGTTGTTGGCCACCCACCCACTCGTGCGCCGTGCCGGCCTTTCATAGGTGCTGGCTAACAGCATCTGCCCCAACAGTCTGGTAAGGCTATACGGGGGTGGGGATTGTTGTGTCTTTGTTTGTAGAAGAGAGATGCAATATTGTTCCATGTGCAGGAAGCATCACGAGAGAAATAACCATTTTCAAATCTCTAGCGCCTCTGAATCGTTTGCTCGCGTGGGGTAACGTAGACGCGTTGGGGGAGGGTCGTGAACCGCGAGGAGGTGGGGTGGGGGGGTTCCATTGTGGAGTTCATAATCATTGCGGAGTTCATAATCATTGTGGAGTTCATAATAATTGTGGAGTTCATAATCATTGTGGAGTGTATAATGATTGTGGAGTTCATAAGGGGCGTTCAGTCAGTCTGCTGCACTGGACTGGTGACCACCGCTTGACCCCGGTGACCTTTGAATGGGTCCTCACCTGGTAAAATAAAGCAAATCAATCAATAGACCAGGATGGAAGAGATAAACACATGCGGCTACAACTATCGAAATCCAGCCTCGTTTTGTGCAGAGTTCCTGGCTAATTGTGATATTTCCATCATCGCAACTTTTGCCGTGCGTGTGACGATAACAATGAATGGTAATAAGTATGAATGTTTTACCAATTAAAAACAATCTAGATTTGAAGCTTTCGTGACTGCAGGAATCCATACTCTGGTTCTTTCGGTAAAGTCACGTAGTTAGAAATAAAATAAAAATAAAATAAAAACATTTTTTAAATCTAAATTGGAATATTTATAATCCATTGGGATGTTTGGCCAACATGAATTACGTCGTATGTTTTGTTCCCCAAACCAAATGGTTCCCCTTTCTATCTCTCAGCGTCATTCCAAGCGTGCACCTCTCCGCGTGCTACTTCCCGCACTTTTCAGATCCGCATATGTTTTTCATGTTATTTGTGAGCGCCCACATTTTCGACGCGCAAATGCGTAAGTTTGAGACGTTGCATTTACCGTTAAAGGAAGGGTACGAGGACTTGGACAGGACGCGGGATGATGACGGCGCTCGAGACTGGCGATGGAGATGCAGGGAATCACACTCTAGGGCGTCCGCCACGGAGACGGAGCGGTGACAACAGCCGGTGTTCGGCTGCTCGAAGGATTGTTGCATCGCATGCGTGGAAGGTGAACGGATTGCCGCATCTCGCACCTCCGATTCGCACGGTTGACTGCGCGCGGTGCGAAAGAAGTTAAACATACATACGTACATATTCTTAGGTTTTTTCGGTAAAGTCACGTAGGTAAAAAATTTAAATTAATAAAAGTAAAATAAAAGTACAATAAAATATTTTATTATATTATATAGTTTTATTTTATTTTTGTATTTTTATTTTTTATTTTACTTTTATTAATTTTAATTTTTTACCTACGTTACTTTACCGAAAAACCCTAAGAATATGAATCCTTGCAGTCACGAAAGCTTCAAATCTAGAATACATACGTACACTATGCAACGGCGATTGGGGATGCCTCCATCAGGCAGTAGATAGATCATGGCCAGTGACGACCAGGTTCAGCTCGTGTGCATTGGCTCGGCGGATCGTTCCACCGCAAACCCCTTAGAGAGACGGTGAAGGCTTGTTGAGGTGGTCTCCATCCAGCAGTGGACAGATCATGGCTGGCGACGACGACGACGACGACGATGATGATGACTGCAGATGCGGTGGCGGCGTTCGTAGCCACCGCTGTGTTTACATCGCCGCACGGATTCGCGCAGGAATTACGGACACATAACTTGGGTGGGGGGGGGGGCTGTATAGGTGGGGTGGGGTGGTGGGTGGGTAGATGGGGGGCTGGGTGAAGGGTGCTCCGGGGAGAGTGCGAGCATCGCCTCTCTCGCTCTCTCTGAGCTTAGTGGACTCAAGATTAATCGCCGGAGCGCTTTGCCGTGAGTCCTCCGTTCCCTGGGCTAAGATAACATCGCTCCACTGCTGCCCAGGGGCCTGCATCCTGTGGCTCCATCAATTAGAAGGTCGTTTGTGTTTTTTTTTCCTTTTCCACCACCCCCCTCGCCCCCCTCCGCTTTTGCCGAGCCGCCCGGCTCCTGCGCGTTTTTTGGGGGGGACCGCGCGGGAAACGGGCGAGCCCCTTCGTGTTTGTCTAAGTTAAGCGGCGTTGTATAATTTAATGTGGTAAATAATAGAATGATGTGTTTTAAGCCACCCCCTTTAATAGGCTCTCCACTGTTGGGCGGCCATGAATAATTAAATTTGGATGCGATTGCGAAGGAGACGGCGCGTTTCTCTCTCTCTCTGCCTCTCTCTCTCTCTTTTTTTAACTGCGCTGTAAAATAAACAAACGCGTAAATAAAAATGAAACGCTCGCACTTGCCGCGATAATGACGTGCGCATTACAACCGCGTCGCTTTTTGCCCGCGGTATATATCAATTGCTACCACCGCGCGCGGCGGCCGCGGATATATCACGCGAAGCGCCGTTTGCGCCCAAAATTGTCCGCCGCGCGCTCACGTTTACACGTCGCGCCACCGGACACTCTCTGCGCTGGTTTTTAAACAATTTGCGCTCTTATCTGCTTTATTCTAAACCCATCCCCCCCCCAACATGCCCCCCCCCCACCTCACCCCACTTTGAATTCAATATCCACGTTACTGCTCTATATATATGTCCTGATGATGAGTGTTACGAGCAATTGGGACCGAGAATCGCCCACGTTTTATTGGCTTGGAACGTAATGCTCTTCACTGGGCGAGCTGCTCGATTCACACTGATTGTACGACGTTAAAACGTTTAGCGCCAGATTTCAGGATGACCCTAACCCAATGAGTCACACAGTTTGACCTCCAGGCCACGATTTTATTTTTTTGGGGGCGGATGAGAGGGGTGTGGCACAAATTGACAATGATCATTGTTAATGTTTCTAGTTATAAACACGGAGACTTGGCAATGATATTTCGAATTTATTTCATGTCCTTTGCCAGTACACTGCTGGATGAAGACTTCCACCTATTGCTTCGGTCAAAAGAGATGTTTGACCATACTTCACCACACTGGTCCGTTGCAGGTTAGGTGACGAGGTGAAGGACCCAAGAGGACCGGTTGAAATGTCACTCGCCACTGATTGGTGCGTAAACCACCGTATAACTATGAATACTTGTACAATTTAAAAGCATGTATATTAAAATAAAATACAATTCTGTGCTTTGCGCATTTATATTAGGATGTATGGGGTAAAGTGTGGGTATTCCTACCTCTTCCAAGATTTCCGGTCAGCATGGCAGAGCAGGCCAAGACAATGTCTAGAGCAGGAGTTGGCAACCTGTAACAGACCAAGAGCTAAAAAGTATCCGTGAGTTCTGCAAAGAGTCACGTGTGTAAGTTTATGCATGTTGACAGTTGTCGGCACAGCACGGGAGATATTCATTATTCTTTGCTGACTACTGTGATGGAATGTTCTACGTCATGCCCCATCGATAGAGCCGCACGTGGTGGATCGAAGAGACGCATGCGGCTCCACAGACTCCAGTTGGCCACCCATGGCCTCGAGTCTCCAGCGGTGGAGGCCCTTCTAACAGCAGCGGCGGCGTGAGCAATCGCAAGGACCGCGTGCGGCGTCAAAGAAGTTCAACGTACATGCATGGGATTTGGTTATTTTTAGTTTTGGCACACAGCGGTAGTTTGCGAGCGCCGAGCGCTTGTGGGGGAGGGGGGGGGGTTGGTTCGTCGCCGGAACGAGCGGTCAGCTTATCCCACGGCTGTGGCTACAGATGTGCGGGTGACGCCAGCTGCGGAACGCGCGTGCGGGGGCACGCCTTCTGTCGCCCAATCGCGGCGCGCTCGCTGGGCACGCGGTGCCTTTTCCGCTCCGTCCGAAGGGATCGCGGAAATTACATGAAATACCCGCGCCTAAATGTATTAGTTTACACCGCAAATTTATAATGCGGAATTATTCTGCTCGGCGAGCCCTTTCGGACCCGCCCGTAATTTAATTTCCAGCGGCAAAACAAATACATCAGCGCCCTCCCGCAAATTGCGCTGCGGAGGAGGCGGCGGCGGCGGCGGCGTCGGCGGCAGCTGTGAGAGCACGGGGGGCTCATTTTTCATTCATTCGTTTCCATCGCTCGCGCAAACCCGTTTAGCGCACGTGCGCGCGCGCGGACCACACACTTCCGATTTCAAGACGCATTAGATTGGGCCATAACTCAACACCTGAGCATGTGGGCTGCCCTGCCCCCCCACCCCCCACCCGAGGAACGCGGAGGTGGGGGGGGGGGGGGTGGGGCGCCCCCCCTTCCCCACCCCCCCACCGGCCGTTCCTACGGACGCGAGCTTTTTAGCGCCGCGACCAACGACAAGTTGACGGTCGATGGCGCGTACCGAAGCGCCCCGGCTGGTGAGCGGACGGACGGCGGGTTTGATGACAGCGGCACCTTTGGCTCTCGGGTTTCACCTGGGAAAAAAATGTGCAGAGCAAGCCGTTCAAACTCGATTATTCAGACTAAAATCTGAGGGCAAGACATTTTGACTACTCCATGAATATGTAAAGCTGATTCGGACGGTCAAGCAATTGCACGTGGTGCTTGCTAAGGGAGAGCTCTGCATCCTAAGACTGAGCTCAAATTAACTAAACTATGTTTCTTTTACGAAGTAAGGCCTACTGAGCTATAGAGCTCCAATTCAGCAGTAATCTGGCCATCACAAGTGATAGCCCAACGAAGCCGCTTATCATGTGGACATTTATAGCAGCCAAATACCCCGAACACATGTTGATCATAAATGTGGATGGAAAAAAAACGGAGGACCCGGAGAAAAACTCCACGCGACCACGGGGACAGAGAAAGAGAGACGCAAACTCCAAATATACAGCAGCAGGCATCAGAGTCGGGATCGACCCCACGAACCTCCTGTGCACCAGGCGAGGAAGTTCACATCTCCTAGCCACCGCGGCGCCTCGCTGTTATCACCGGCACCCGCGTCAGTCTCCCGCTGGATGGAGACCTCCCGAGAAGTGACAGGGCGCTGGGGGTTGTTTTGAGCGCACTTCACCGCGCCGGTGAGTGCGGGTTGGCGAAAGCGGAGTACTGGTCGGGGCATCACTCGCCACCGACGGTCAGCCTTGGCCGGCATTTGAACTCGGGTCGGCCGGGTTCACGGCGCGGTGTGCGAACCGCCGGGCCAGATGCGTTGCTGGAGAGGGGGACGTCGTGTCGGCCGTACTTTCTGCTTGTGGACGTCGTTGGAGGGTTTTTTTGCATTCAGCCATATGTAGCCAGCCATTTGGGGCAGAGTTTAGGGAGGATGGCACGGGAGGGCGATGCCGCCCCCCCCTGCGATTCCTAATGTGAGGGGCAAAGTGAACCCCTGCCCCTCCCCTCCCCCCAAATATACAAGTCAAACTCCAGCTATGCAAGGGATCGCAATCAAACTTCTAGCATATTGGCACAAGCGGTCTGGCTTTAGAGAGTGCAGGCGGTGCCACTGCACTGGTGCAGCCCCGCAGGCCAGGGGAGCGCAGGCTGCGAGATGTTAACCACCTCTCCTGGTATGCTGGAGGTCGTGAGTTCAATCCCAACCCTGACTCCTGCTGTATATTTGGTCGCGTGGATTTTTCTCAGGGTCCTCTGGTTTTTCTCCTCTGTATATTGAAGAATTGAAGAGACCGGGGGGCGGGGGGGGGGGTGGTACGGCGGTGGTGGGGAGCATTTAATTCCTCGCACCAGGGTCAACCCACGCTGACGAAGAGGTGTGGTCATAAACACCTCTATATAGCCTGGGGAGGCCTTCATCCTGCAGAGACTCAGTATTCTGCAGATACTGGGCTGCCGCGGTGGCGAGATATTAACTACCTCTCCTGGTATACGGGAGGTCGTGAGTTGAATCCCAACCCTGACTCCTGCTGTATATTTGGTCGCGTGGATTTTTCTCAGGGTCCTCTGGTTTTTCTCCTCCGTATATTGAAGAATTGAAGAGACCGGGGGCGGGAGGGGGGGTGGAGAGCATTTAATTCCTCGCACCAGGGTCAACCCACACTGACCAGTATCGAAGAGGTGTGGTCATAAACACCTCTATTTCGCCTGGGGAGGGCTTCACCCTGCAGAGACTCAGTATTCTGCAGATACTGGGCTGCCACGGTGGCGAGATGTTAACTACCTCTCCTGGTATACTGGAGGTCGTGAGTTCAATCCCAACCCTGACGCCTGCTGTATATCTGGTCGCGTGGATTTTTCTCAGGGTCCTCTGGGTTTTCTCCTCCGTGTTTAAAAACATGCGTTTAGAGTATTTAGCTGCTATGCATTTCCACATGGCCAGGTCGCTTCTGCAAAGAGCTAAGTAGCTCCGTGGGCCTTACCTTGGTAAAATAATAAAATATATTTAAATCGTTTAAACAAATTGTTTACCGCGTCGCTGGACACCGGAACGAGAATTGATTAGCGGCAGCCGCCCCGTTCCGTGGCCAGCGTGTTTGCGGACGTAATCGAGTAAGCCGTGCCAGAGTTGGCAGCGACAACGGCGGCGCACGCCCCGGCGATTCTGCCGATTGCCTTAAGTGGGCCGCAGTTTTGGCCTTGACTGGAGCGCACGGTCGCCTGTCCCGCCGCGGAATCCTGAACGGCCACGAGTGTGTAAAGACACTATCCGTGGCTTTAATGCCGAGCGACAATGCCCCTCTAACACGGCACCGCACGGGGGGACCGAGTTAGAAGCCAGCCCACCTGCGGCGGTGCTCATCCATTGGGGGCCCTTAAGCAGAAATTAAGATTTGGGGGGCCAGCCTCCCCCCCCTCCCGCATTTTTGATTGTATAAATTAATCTGGAGGTGACAGAAAGTGTTTAGTGCGGTGGTTCCCGACCTTTCTGGTCCCGCCGATCGCTGCTAAAAAAGATTATGCGGACCACCGTGCAGTGATTGGCGATAAAAAATAATGTCGGAGCATCTTCAGCAGTTCTGCGGGACACCTTCCACGACCTTGTCCACGGACCACAGGATGGGACCAACGGTCATGTGTACGCACCAGCGCATGCGTGTCGTGGTGTTCGGTTTCTCGCCACCGGAATTCAAATGAGAAACAATATTTGGTTATCCCGGGGGTCCGAGCGATACGTAATGGTGTGGCTGGGCGTGTAGATGGTGGGCAGAGGGGAGGGCAGGCGAACGGACGGGCGGTGGTTGGAAGCGGCCTGCTCTGTGAGCGGAAAGAGCACTCCATCGGCATGATTGATGGGCACTTTGGCCTTATCGTGTATGTACGTCATGGGACATACGGCGTGGCAGACAGCTCGGACAATGGACCACCGATGGGTCCTCTCGGGCCGCAACGCAGATGGGGAGAGGCATGGATCCTTTGTCCACGCAGCCACAAGAGCGATTGGAAAGCTCGCTCAATAGACCGATGCAAGTTTCTGCGCTCTCAGCAGTAGCGCGCAGGGCAGCGGCGAAACGTTCAGCGCAGGTAAAATAAAATAATTCCTTTCTTGCGCAAGACGACATTCGATTTTGAACTTGGAGAACGTTAATAGATCTTGAAGCTGGACGTCATGGAGCATGTTTAACTTATTTTGGCTTACAGGTTACAAAAAAAATTTGAGACGCAAAAACTTTTTTTTTTACCATTAGTTTTTTTTGTCGAATGTAAAACTGATTTATTTATTCTACTGAGTGAGAGCACGAGCAGAATGAAGACGGCCGTTCCACCGTGGTCACGTTTGCAGTTTGCAACGTTACATGCCTTGCAGTCGTCCCGGTTTTAATCACAGGCGAATGAGACGACCGGTTTCGGGCGACACTTATTTCCCATTTTCTCTCCTGAACTGCTGCTCCGTTTTTTTTCGCATTCGGCTCTCGAAGCTTGGCGAATTAGGACCGACGTCGCAAACCGCACGCGCGCGTTTTTGTCATCGACCGTCAAAACAAAACAAAAAACTCGCGCGCGTCCTGGTTAGCGTGGCCGGCTAACTGGGGAGCCGCCGCTCTGCCGTGGGATTGTCGGAGGAACGCGGCGTGTGACCAGCGGAGGACAATTACCGCCGTGTTTATTCAGAGATTCCCGCGGCTGCCGCCACCGCCGCGCTGTCACTGGGTCTCACGCACGCGCGTACACGCGCACGCGCACACAAAGACGAAACCCCCCCTCCCCCGGACAGCCTCTGAACAGACTGTTGGGGAGAGCACCGTTCGCTGAATATCACAGTGGCGAATGTTTCAACTGGTCGGCTGAGCATTTTGATGAGTGCCTGATGTGGCGTGTAAACATCGGCACTGGGGAGACAAAGGCGGCCGGGTGTGGTGCTGCTCACCCATCACCTCGGCCTTCATAGGTGCTCGGTTGTATGTATGTTGAACTTCTTTCGCACCGTATGTAGCCAACCGTGTTTATCGGAGGTGCGGGGGAAGGACAACCAAACTCAACACAACAAGTGGTAACAGAACTTGCCCCAACAGCCTTTTCGAGGCGACAGGAGGGACCTTTGTGGACCTGGAGTTGTCTCTTACCCGCCGGAGAGGAGCCAACTCTGGAAAACAGACGGAGAGGTGAGCGCTCATGTCGGTGACGCAAGTGAGATCTGAAGCGTTCCCCATCCCCCCTCCGCTTGGCCAGCATGCACCGGGCAGCGTGGTGAAATACGGTGAAACTCCTTCCATGACCAGCTCAGCATTGGAGGTCTTAATGCAGCAGTGGATTGACGATTGGCTTAAAGTTACTATTTTACAGTATAATGCACTTTGAAACTAAATAAAAAAAAATGTAACTACGTTCCTTTTCTTTTTTACATTTTATTACGCTTTCAGTCGTGACTGCCAAATTGTGACTCTGACCGCAACGTGAATCTTGAACGAAGTTTTATGGAATGGAAGCTATACTCTTTGATTTTTTCGGTAAAGTCACGTAGGTAATTTTTTTTAAAATAAATTAAATCACGACGTTTCGGGCGCAACACAAGCATCCTTCTTAAGGTGGGGACAACTTAGCGAAAGCACACTTAAGCGATGTGCTTTACGTGACTTTACCGAAAAAAACAAAGAGTATGAATCCTTGCAGTCACGAAAACTTCAAATCTAGAAGGAATGGAAGTTGAATGGACGCTGAACGATGAGAAGCGGCAGGAGAAATTAGCAAATAATCTGACTATCCTGTGGTTTACCATCATCGTCGTGATCGTCGTCGTCATCATCGTCATGTCAGGCAGACTACTTTCCCACTGCGGCGGCGACGTCTTCTAAATAACTCGAGCCCTGGCTCTGCTGTGGGTCCCGTAATTGCATAATAACTTAATCGCAAATTCTTGTCGGAGATTAATAACGCGTTGTGTTGTTTCCCGTCTCTCTCTCTCTCTCTCGATGGGTCCTGCGCGTCATGTTGGATTCGCAGAGTTGATCGCTGCGGCAAGGAGGGCTTGATGTCTGAGTCGGCATCAGCCGAGGGCAAGGAGGTAATGGGTTTTTTTTTTGCCGGAGCTAAAAGATTTGAATCCCGCCCCCCCCACCCCCCATCTCACGTTGGCTCCTGCCAACACTGACGAAGAGACAAACATGAAGATCGCATGTGTGGCCTCTGTCTAGCACACTTCTGGGGCAAGTGCTGTTCACGAGACACCGACGAATGCCAGTGTGGTGCACGAGCGTTTGGTGTGGCCAGCTCTACGCCCCCCCCCCCGGCTGCCTTTGTCTCCCCAAAGCTGATGCTCGCTACGAATACGGCGGCCCGAGTTCCATTCTCGGCCATGGCTAATATCAGCGGTGATTTTCTGAACCGGTCCTGCAGGCCTCCCCAAAGTTGACTTGGCCTTAGATAAGTATCTCGTGCAGTGTGTGAAAATCAGCACTGGGGAGACAAATGCGGCCGGTTGTGGCGTTAGCCACACCACCCGTGTGCTATTGTCTGATGTTTGTGTTGAGTTTATTGTGCCTCCTCCACACCTCCCATTAGCATGGTTGGCAACATACGGTTGAGAAGAATTTCAACATACATACAAATACATTAATACGTGCTCGCTAACAACACTCGCTCAATTAGCCTTGTTAAGGCTACATGGGGGGAATGATTTGCCTTTCAACTGCACACACACACACACGCACGCACCACACACACACAGTGGCCCGGCCTACGCTACGCTGGCGTTCTAACGCGAGCACTAACGCGCGCAGCCCCGTTCACACGAGCTAACATTTATCGGCCGTGACTCACGCGGAGGGCGTTTATATCCGCGCCGTCGATATTTCCTGAACGGCAGAAGAAGAAAAAAAATCTAAAGGCGAGAGCATGAAACGAGCACGCTTTACCGCGGCGTGAAAATACGCGCCCGTACGCTCCGCTCCGCTCATCATTGTCGCGCCGTAAATTCTCACCTCGGCGGTAAGAAGCTGCCGGCTTTTTTTGCCGCTCGCGGATGATGAAGTAAAGCCATTGTGCGTCTTGTCACGGCGCCGTAAGTCAGATTATTTAAACGCGTCTTGCTCAGCCCCTCCACGACGGGACCACGCAGCAGCTTGGCTAAATTCATGTTCATCAACTCTCGATTAACCGGGGTGGGGGCGGGTGGTGGGAGGGGGGGGGGGGCAACGCCGTGCGTGGGCGGTGTGAGCCCGGATATAGAAAAAAAATACGAATATATAAAGCAACTTTTTTTTTATGAGGTTGTGAACAAACAGGTAGGTAGGCGGTTGATTGCACACACGGGTTGGGCGCGCGGTCGTGGAATGTGCGTGACGTCTCTCCTCCCCGTGGCTAATCGGTTTACTCGCCGAGGTTTGCGGCGATGCCACCAGCCTTCGATAAGTGAGGAGCGGATGAAAACAATGAAATGAGCGCGCGTAGATGCTTTGCGTTATTTTTTTCGCGAGCATTGGTAATCCGAAACTCGTATAAGCCACCCAAAGATTATCTGGAGTTCAGTGTGATAATGCCTCTATTTAACCAATATCCAACATTAACCGTTTGATGTTTGCAGGCAATGGTGGCAGCAGTACATAGTCAGTTCTACCTAAAATGTCCAATATGGTTTGGCATTCCAGGTCAATCCGTCACTGTAGACATTGCTCGTACACACAATATAAAGGAACATTCGAGTGAATCTTTATCAAAAAAATCACCCTTTTGTCAATATGTTGCTGGGTAAAGGCCTCTCCCATGCTGTGTCTATCATGGGGATGTTTGAACATTCTTCGCCACGCTGGTCAGGGCGGGCTGGGGAAGGTGAAGCTCCCCAGGACGGGCTTAGATATCAATCGCAACTGATGTTGGTCGTGGCCGGGAGTTGAACTCATGTTTGTCACTAGACCCGAATCACAGCGTGGGAACCACTCCATCAAGGCTATCCCCAAACAAAAAAAATGGTATCAAACCTCGGAAAAAGATTTTGAAATTTGTATTAAAATGAAGTGCGTGACAATGAGTTATGTGGCGCACCGAATACATTTAAAATCTAATGGCAAGACTTTTTAACTGCGCCATAAATAAGTTCGCTGAGTCACTCTGCGAAGCAATTGCACATGACACTTACGAAGCGATACCTCTGCATCCAAAGACTGAGCTAAACTAAACTATTTTTCTTTTACTAGGCAAGGCCCACTGAGCTATAGAGTTCTTTTTCAGAATTGACCTGGCCACAAATGATAGCCCAAGCGAAGTGGCTTATCACGTGAAAATTTATAGCAGCCAAATACTCGAAACGCATGTTGATAAAGGCGGAAGGAAAAACCGTTGAACCCGGAGAAAAATCCACGCGACTACGGGGAGAGATCTAAATATACAGCAGGCGTCAGGGTCGTAATCGAACCCACGACCTCCTGTATATCAGACGAGGTAGTTAACATCTCGCCACGGCGGCTCCCTAAATCCATACTGGAGTGTCAGAGGCGCCACTCACCAACGAGGACCGCGACTCGTTTGCTGAGCCGGGTGAGCACAGAGATTATGGAGGCAGTTTGCAAAAGTTACCGTTATGCATAAATATTAACCACCACCACCAATCATCATCGTGATCATCGTCATCATCGCCAACCATGATCGATCTACTGCTCAGTGCAGGCCGCGCAAAGCCATCACCACCACTCATGGTCGCTCGACACAGCGACCCATCGAGCTGCTTGCACGCATGCTCGAACTCCGTGGTGACGTCCTCACCGGTCGCGTTCCCTCCTTCGGCTGCCGCTCCTTCGTGAGCCTCGACCGCCGGGCGTCATCGCGCCCATGCACTCTTGGTTTTATTTTCAACGCTTTTTTGTTTTGTTAACGCTAACCAAATGGAGTTTAAGATGACTTTCTGAACTCATTCAGAAATTTCACTTTACGTTTACATTTTTGAAAGTTGCACCGTCACAACTTGCCGCCCCCCCCCCATCCGACGCTATCTGAATGAGTGGGGGATTGATTGAGGGCGACTGTTGGCATACTCAGCAAACATACGCTGAGCTATAGACGTAATTTCCTGCCACAGCAATACCCTTTAAGTTCATCCGACGTAACTTTTTCTCAAGTACGCTGTGCTTTGGATTTCCCTTGTATCTTGCTGCGCTGGCGCGTCAGGTGGGTTCCGTTGCAACGTGCGCTTAACGGACCCTCTGCTGTGCACCTCGCTACTTGACGAGATGGGAGGAGTGGTGGCGCAGCGGTTAGCGCAAAAGCACCCGAGCTCGGCGACCGCCGTTCGATTCCCGGACACGCCTCGTGTTTTTTTTTTTGGCAAGCGATATCTGGACCCAGTCCCTTGCACAGTGACGTACGGTGAAACAACGCTCAGGAACAACGCGGCATGTGGACAGGAGGCCTTCATGCCAGTGGTAGATTAACAGAGAGACGAAACGAGAACACAATGATCGATATTTCTTCTTTTTTTGAACTCCTCTGCTCGCTTGTGTGGTGTTATTGCCGGATTGTGTATCTGTCGTCGGCACGGCGTCCACGTCCGTGAGCGCGTTGCCTGCCGGATATTGCAGGGAGGGGACGACACCGATCTCCCCCTACCCCCCCCCAAGGCGTCGATATGGAGCGGTCGCGCGACACACGGCCGATAGCCGGGCCGGGCGGCCGGTCCTTTTTCCCCGAGCGCGCGCCGTAGAAAGGCAGAACACTTGTACACTATCAGATGTTTTTGAAGAACGAGTGTTTTGCGCCGAGCTCGGCAAATAGGAAATGCGCCGCTCATTCAGTCATTCCTTTATCCCGATAAAGATCTCTCTATCGGGTGAAAAGTGAGATTTCATTCATCCCGCTGTTGTCACTGATCCCCAAGAGCTCAGAAGCCCGGGCCCTTTTCACTGCCTTTTAAAGAGCCTCATTGTGCGTATTCATGGAGGGATTTGTGTCAGAACAGATGAAATCGCCAACCGCAAACAGAAATCAGCCCCTTTTAGGGAAGGCATTTTTTTTATCCCCCTCCCCCACCGTGGGAGGTGGTGGCGGGGTGTGGGTGGGTGGGGGGGAGGTTAATTTCCCACCCGTCCACGTATATATATACCTGGGCGCCTTCTTCTGCCACGTCTGACCTTTTCATCCCTGGGGTCGAGCCCTCTGTGACCCGGCGGTCTGACTTTCCGTGTTGTCCCCTTGACAAATAGTGAGGCCCTGCCCGACCGCTTATCTCAGCCGCGGCCAACTGCCAACAATACATCAAACGCTCCCCGAGTGTCACACTTTCTTTCTGCCTTTGTCTTATTTATTTATTTTCACATTTCCTTTTGTTTTCTCTCCTCTCTCTCTCTCTCGCTCGCTCAGGCCTTTTCTCCCCGTCCCTGATATCTCTCCGGGAAGAGGCGACGGCGCTGGCGGAAGAACCAAGGCGTCTCTCCGCGGTTTGCGACCGCGGGGCATTGCGAGTGGGGGCATCCGTTACCTTCACCTTCAGAGTGGGGTCATCAACCACCCTCAAAATAATAACGTCTCCTGTTGAAAGACTTCCTTTTGAAAGCACGCGCGCTGTAACGGGACCGAAAGCAACGCTCTCGCGCGCTTCCTTACAGACACCAACGGCAACGGCAAAGCATCCCGTGTCCGCCCCCCTCCCCATCGCTACAGGCGCTGCTGCTGAAGGGTTACGCAGCACCCAGGGCTCTTTGACCAGATATGTTGTGTTCGGCAGACTGGAACAGGTTTCACGTGACCCGGTAGCCACACGCAATGGCGGCGAGAGCTATACTGGATGTGGCGTGCCGGGTGATTCCCAGGACTGGACTGTTGGGGGATCGCTACCACCATCGCCACCACCACCACCTCCCCTCCCGGCTGAAGCAGCGTTACGGTCTCTCAATGCCTCGTGAATCCTCCCCCCCCCCCCCCCCCGGCCGACGATCTGAGATGACGGTGGCAAGTGTCGGTGGCTCCCGACGATCCGTCGCGCCCTGGGGCCGGATCGCCATCGCCTCCATTAGGCCCGCGCCCGTTTGCTCGTTTAAGCCAACGATTTCGAGGAACGGTAAACTTTCAAAATGCCGCATCCAATTTGCGTCGTGTCTCTTTCTCTCGCTGTAAGGGAGGCTGTGCAGGTGAACGCAGCCGAGGAAAACCGAACACGGCGGGGTATTGTCCGTCCATCTGTCCGTTCGCGTCCTTCGTAATTGCTCCCCTTTTCGACGGGGGGAAGCTGTCGACAACGTGGATGGCTCGAGCGTCGAACCGAGCGGGCGACGGTGAGCCTCGCGCAACGCTCACTGGCAACCTGTCGCGAACGTAACGACAGTGCTTAAAACACAAACTCAACGAGGTTTGCCGCAGCTTGTCCATCATTGTTTTCGGGTGAAGCCTCCGATTATTTTTTGGCCAGAATTTTTACCAAACCACCCCCCCCCTTCCCGCCCAAAAAGAAATCTACGGATCCGAACGAGCGTAACAAGGTACCAAGGTAAAGGTGCGGCCCTGCAACTGCTTGCTTACGCCGCTGCTGGCGAAAGGCCTTCTACTCGAGCCAGCTCTTGAGAGCCCCTCTGGAGAGCATTTTGGCCTACTCTTCCAAGCTGACCAGACGGCTTGGAAGAGGTGAGAAGTACACACACTCCCCACCGCACGTGACCTGGGTGGACAGAGACGGTGAAGGGAATGGGGGGGAGGGGTCGGGACTTGTGGGGGGCTTGTGGGGGGGTTGTGGGGGGGGGTTGTGGGGGGGTTGTGGTGGGAGGTGGACGTTCTTCGTCTTTTTGTATTTTGGCGTTTCTGCACGAACGGCGAGCAGCGCGAATCGGCGGAGCACCACAACAAAAGGGCGCACTGCCGGGGTGTGGCCCGGCATCATAAATATTCCATTCTGACATGGACGCATCGCTGGGAAAGGTGCCCTTTTTAATATTTACGATGTACATTAATATAAATGAGTTTTAGCCTGTGTGATGTTAAAATTTTAGTGGCATTTACACAGTCCTATTGTCCTAATACCATGGCACGGGTGAGTGGGGTCCAGGCTTTACCAGCACTGTAGCTATTTTCGGGAATCCAATCGTGGGCTGGGATGGCGAGCGAGCACCATGCGTTACCTGTACGCACTCCGTCTTCGCGCGAGGCCGCTATGCACACGCGCCGTCGCCTCGCGTTGCGCGATCGCCCGCTCGCGCCTTTTGGTAGGTGCCCAGCGGAATCGCCTCGGCCGGGGGGGGGGGGGGGTCGGCGACCCGCGGGGTGTCACCGCGCCCCTGTCGCACTGCGCCCGGTATTAGCTCTGACGGTGGCTGCTTCGGTGGTCACGTGTCACCTCCTGCAGTCTGCCGAGAAAATATTGAGCCCGAAATGAAGGCCTGGGTTCGTACGTAAGTGTATGGGTTCTATGTAACTCTATGGGTCTGATGTAAGCATATGGGTCCTATGTAAGTTTTTGGGTGCTATGGCCTATGGATCCTAAGTATATGGGTTCTGTGCAAGTCTATGGGTTAGGGTGAGGGTGACGTGAAAAAAAATTCACACCTGGCACACAACATCAAGTATGCATCTCGCTATGGCTGTAGGGTGTCGTCACCTACCACCTCCAGTGGGCCAGCAAGCCAGAGGTCATTCAGTGAAAAATGTTTCTCTGGGGAGGCCCCGTTGGTGAATGGTTTCATTGGTGAGTTGTCGAGTGGAACCAAAGTGCCCAACGCAACTTCTACATCCCCACTGGAGATGTAGGCGAGCGACGGTTTGGGCAGGCCCTCATCCAGCAGTGGATTCAGCGTGGCCGGCGATTATTTAGCTGGGTGGCTCGGCGGTAGACCGAGCGGTTCTCGATCAGAATATTGCGAGTTCAAATCCTCGGCGGTGATTGACCAGTGGTCGGCTGCCAAAATAACATTAAGAGCAATTTTTTTCGACTTCAGTAAAAAAAAACATCAATATTTCAAGAGCCGCAATGCATGTGAATACGAGATTGTGGTCCTTAATAAATAAGCATCACGAAGCGGTCCTTAAAGAGCCGCACGCTGCTCCGAAGCCTCAGGTTGCCGACTCCTGCCCATGGTGAACTGGGCTCCCATGGTAAACTGAAATCCCATGGTGAACTGGGCTCCCATGGTAAACTGGACTCCCATGGTAAACTGAAATCCCATGGTAAACTGGACTGCCATGGTAAACTAAAATCACATGGTAAACTGGACTCTCATGGTAAACTGAAATCCCACGGTAAACTGAACTCCCATGGTAAACTGGCCTGCAACCAAAATAACAAGAAGAGCACTTTTTTTATTCGGTTAAAAATACTCAATATTTCAAGAGCTGCAATGCACTTAGTGAATACGAGACGGTGTGGGTCCTTCATACTTAACGGCCACGAAGCAGTCCCTTAAAGAGCCGCACGTGGCTTCGGATCCGCAGGTTGCCGAGCCCTGACTTAGCCCATCACCGTTACGAGGCTCGATCAAATAGGTTCAGCTCATGGGAGAAGCCCACCGCGGTTTGTCCTACGCAGAGCCTCGCCCCCGCCGTAGCGACGAGGAAATTCCCCGCGCGGGCTCAGGGTTGCAAGCGGAGATCGCAGAGCCGCCGTGCGGCGGAGGGACACAACCTCGAGAGCCCACGCAGTGCGTGGCCGGAGCGCGCCGAGGTGCTCCGGTCACACAGGAGGAGCGCCCACTCACTTGCATCATTAACTCCAACGGCTGTGGGGGTGGCGAGGGCAGGTGGGAGGGGGGTGGGGGGGACGTCGCTAGCCCCCTGACCACGGCGGTGGGGGGGACGAGGAAAGCGCGGGGGTCTTCGGGTCAAAGCGTCGCACAAGGAACGTGCAGGGCGGCCGTTTCGCGATGGCCTCCTCCGGGGGGGCCGGCGCTGGTGGGGCCCGCCGAGGCGACCTCGCAAGCTGTCCGTGGGCCGATCTCAAGCGGGCGGAGGCGGCCGCGTTCAGTTGGCCCCGTTATTAAAGGGATGCATTATACGCGGGGACCACCTCCGAAAGCAGGGGAGGTCACCGCAGCTGACCGGACCCACAATGGGATAAAAAAAATGTGAAAGGAGGGGAGCATCTGCAGGAGTGGGTGGGCAGAGGCGCCGTGCCCCCGAGCGGGACAAGGCGCGCGCTTTGTGCTCACGGTGGAGGAAGGCCCGCGAGCGCATGAGTGGCGGGGAGGAAATCGTCGTCGCAAGCCGGGTTACGCGAACATAACGAGAGGGCCGCTCACTCAAAAAAGGCCGACTTGTCCTTCGCTTGCCCACCCTCTCCACAATTTTAGTGTCAGACCGGTCGTTGTTTCAAGCGAGGGGGATTTTTTTTTTTTTTACGAACCCTGTATTTTTCGACAGTAACTTGAACAGAACGCCCCTCTATCTCTGCGGTCGCAAAGTTCAGGTGCATTTACGGCGGGGTCAGATGGTGCGCCCCGTTTGAAACCGAACATAAATGCTGCGGAAGTTTAATTCGAAGATATGCTCTCGGTCGCCGACTCAAAAGGGTGGTTTTGTCGCGAGGTTAGGAGGTGAGCGTGCTGGCGCGCTGCCGTGTACCACGGCCCCTTAGCCGTCATCGCAACTTGGTCAATCCACTGCTGGATGAAGGCCTCCCTGAGCCGTCGCCTTCTGATTTCATTGCTCCATCTCCTCAAGTGGACAAGACATTCGGACGCGTTCCATTCCTGGGCTGCCACCAAAAACAGACGATTAATTTAAAAGAATAACTCGTTTATTTGTTACTGTCACCGAGAGGGTTGGGTGATCTTTATTAAAGCTGCGTTATCTGATTTGTTAAATAATCAATTACTCAGCTGATTGTTGGTTCCATTGCTCAACCAATCGGATAACAAACGAACGTTTAGAAAACAGCTGTGTCGCTGTACGGGAGGTTACGGGCGGTACTAGATGATGTCATCTGAATCATCAGCCGCATCACGTTGGCCGTGGCCCTTTTGGGGGTTTCCCACCTTCTGGAGGCAGGATCTGGGGGGAACTACATGTTTTAAGTGGTGCGAGTAATCAACCACTCAAAAGTAGTGGAGTCCAATTTTAAGTCGATCAATCACCTTAATAATCTACCCATCGAACCAGCTCTAACCTTTGATGTTTCAGCCAACCGGCCTTCTTCAGGAATATTTATCCCGCTGCTGTACGGCGCGACCACGGGGCACTGTGTCGCCGTTACAAACGGTTGCGGGGCGTTTGCGATTACACGGCGCGACTGCGAACGGCGGTGACTTACATCACGGATGACGCGTTGGGGCGATCCGTAACAGCGAGGCATGCGCGCGTTCAATGGCTTGAACTTTCCGTAAACTCTGGACAATGACGCGTCGTCGGTCGCCATCGCCGTTTCCCCCCAATGACCTCCCGCGATCGGTTTTCAGCTAAATGAAAAATCAACTCGCAACGCTCCTTGCTTAAGGGGGGGGGGGCACAAAATCCCACTAATCTCAAGGTGTCCAAAGCAAGAGGGCCTCTCAACCATTCACCCCGATTAATCACAGGGCGCTCTGCACCCTCGGAGAGGGACACTCCGGCTAACGTTTCTCCCCGTGACAGCGCGGCCTAATATGCCGAGCCGGAGGCCTTGGGTGAACAAAGCGTAGCGCCTGGGGGCCCCCGTCGTACCCTTGTTGTGTGCGACGTGGGGGCCGATGTCACGGACGCAACTTCTAATTTACAGAGCTGAGCACAACACAAATGGGCTGGGTTCTCACTTTTCCTTTTCTCTACATCTCTCATTCCCTCCCTCCCTCCCCACCGCCACCGCTCTCCTCCTTTCTCTTCGCCCGTCCCCTTTCTCTAAGCCGTGACCACCAGCTGACCCTTTGGTGGAC